CTTCTGCTGTTGCTGCTGCTGCTGCTGCTGCTGCTGCTGCTGCTGCAGTTGGCTACAGTGGCATATCGTAGCGGTAAAGAATGGGAAGAAAGATTTGGCGGTTTACGTCTGCAGCATTTGCTGCTTACCTCTCCTTCTTCTTCTTCTTCTTCTCCTCCTTCTTCTCCTTCTTCTCCTTCTTCTTCTCCTTCTCCTCCTTCTCCTTCTCCTTTTTCTCCTTCTTCTTCTCCTCCTTTTCCTTCTTCTTCTTTTTTTTCTCCTTTTTTTTCCTCTTTTTCTTCCCCTAAGGAAGAAGAAATAAAAAATATTTTTAATAAAAAATATTTACAAATAATTAAACACCATATACCTCCTCCCTTGCATAAGAGGCAGCAGCAGCTGCAGCAGCAGCAGCAGCAGCAACTGCAGCAGCAACTGCAGCAACAAATGCAGCAGCAACAAATGCAGCAGCAGCAACAACAACAACAACAACAACATGGGGGGAAGTATGAGCAGAAGCTGCAGCAGCAGCAGCAACTGCAACAGCAGCAGCAACAGCAGGAGAGGGAGCAGCAAGAGCAGCAGCAGCAGGAGGAGCAGCAGCGTCAATTGCTGCTGCAGCAGCAGCAGCATAAATCTCCTACTCTGCATGCAGATTTTGCTGTAGAAGGATACATACAACAACAAGGATATAAATGGGCAAATTATATAGACCCTAATTCATTAATATATCTATCCAAGGTCCTAAACCCTAAACCCTAAACCCTAAACCCTAAACCCTAAACCCTAAACCCTAAACCCTAGATAGATAAGACATGTTACTCCGTATCATCTGCTGCTGTTTCTAATCATGATACTGCTGCTGCTGTTGCTGCTGCTCCCCCTGCTGCTGTTCCTGCTGCTACATATAAAATAAATAAATAAGTAAATAAATAAATGCATGCATGCATGCAGGCAATGGATATATTTAGTATATCTGCATGGGACCCAATAAGAAAGAAGATGTGTATATCTTATGGTATAAGACGCATGCATATGCATGTATTAATAATAGGAATAAAAGGAGACAATATATTCCCTATAAGACAACAAAAAGAAATAAAAAAAGAATTAAATAATATAAATAATTATAATATTTTTTTTTTCTCCCTTTTTTCTCCTTATGCTCATGATTCTTTTCTTATTGATATACATAATGTAGGTACACCTATTAAGGGATTCTTAGAGACACCACTAACCCATATAGAGCAGCAGCAGCAGCAGCAGCAGCAGCAGCAGCAGCAGCAGCAGCAGCAGCAGCAGCAGCAAGAGCAAGAGCATCAGCAGCAAGAGCTACAGAAAGAGCAGCAAGAGCAACAGAAAGAGCAGCAGCAAGAGATGCAGCAGCAACAGAAGAATCAGCAGCAGACTATACAACATCAACAACAGGGGAAGCAGCAGCAGCAGCAGCAAATGCAGCAGCAGCAGCAACAACAACAACAACAGCAGGAGAAGCAGGAGCATAGCGATTGGGGGGGCCCCAACTGCACCGGCATATATAAAGAAGGAGGGGCCCCACAAGCAGCAAGAGGAGCAACAAAAGAATAAATAAAAATAGATAAATAATTGAGGTGTATGCGCATACACCCCAAGGACAAACCCTAAACCCTAAACCCTAAACCCTAAACCCTGAAAATGGAGGGCACTTAACTGCCCATCTCCAGGTATATCTGCAGGGGCCCCACATGCATTAGGTAGGGGCTTCTAGTGGAGGCCCTTAAGGGGGCCTTAGGAGGGCCCGAAGGGGGCCCTCTTCTCTCGCTGGGGGCCCCCAAACAGGGGGCCCCCAAACTACTATTAAGGAATTATTCTTTGCTGCAAGAGTTTGGGGGTTTAGTAGGACCCTAAACCCTAGACCCTAAACCCTAAACCCTTAACGCTGGTGTGTTCGGGAGTAGATCAACACTCCCCAATAATCTTCTTATGGATACTGGGTCTGATCAAGCGTTTAGGGTTTAGGGTTTAGGGTTTAGGGTTTCCGCGAAGTGACCTTGTGCCTAACCATCGTTGGATATCCACTATAGAAGAAATAATAAACAAAATAAATAAAATAAATAAATAAATAAATAAACAAAATAAATAAATAAAATAAATAGATAAATAAATAAAAACAAACAAAACAAATAATACAAATAGAGCACAGCAGTCACCGCCGCCACAGTAAACCCTTGGGGCCCCCCGGGGCCTCTCGTTCTTTTTATTATTGCTAATTAATTTATATATATAAAAATAAATAAATATAAATATAAATTATTTTATTTTATTTATTTTATTTATTTTATTTGTTTTATTCAATGAGGAAGGAGAGCGCAGACGAGCAGCTGGCTGCATATCGATTTATACATATAATGCCTAAACCCTAAACCCTAAACCCTAAACCCTAAACCCTAAACCCTTGACTCTTAGAAATCTTAAATTATTCAATTTGTTTTGAATTCCAGTACTAATTAAGCCCTCTAAATATTTCCTTAACGTAACGATCATGGAGCAGCCTGAGCTGCAGGGGCCCCAGGGGCCCCCAGAAGATGAAGCTCGGGGGCCCCCAGAGGCCCCAGAGGCCCCAGCGGGCCCTCACGGTGCCCCTTACAGGGTACAAGGGCCCCCTAAGGAGGTGACACCACCTCAGCGGGAGGGGCCCCCAAGACAACACAGGCTGCAGCAGCTTAAGTTGCTAACGAGGGCCCACAGGGTTCCAGGTGATACCCAGAAAGATCAGAGGCCCTTGGGGGCCCCTGTGGGGGCCCCTATGGGGCCCCCAAGGCTGCCTGTAAGGACAACAAGGAGCCAGAGTCTAAGGGTACAGCGGATAGCTGCTATGCTGATGGGGCAGAAGGAGGACTCCATGGGGCCCCTCAATAAATTAAAGAATGAGATAAAAAGGGGTATACATCCAAGGGGGCCCCCTAGGCCCCCTCGGGGGCCCCTAGGTTCTCAAGGAGGAGTTACAGAGGCTGGAAAAGGGGACCCCGATGCGAGTGTTGGGGAGGGGCCCCCCAGGGGCCCCCCTCCAGGGGGCCCTGCAGGGGGGCCCCCAAGGGGGCCCCGTTCTTCTTTGTCTACTAATAAAAACAAAGAAGAAAAAAATAATAAAAAAGAAAAAAGACATTTTGGTGTTTTTAATAAACATAAAAACTTTGGCGTTGTACCCAAATACGTTAAAGTAAGTAGGGTTTAGGGTTTAGGGTTTAGGGTTTAGGGTTTAGGGTTTAGGGTTCAGGGTTTGAATTTTAGGGTTTGGGGGTTTAGGGTTTGGGTTTTAGGGTTTAAGGTTTAGGGCTCCCCTGTGTGTGTATGTGTGTTAGGCGATTCGTGCTGCTGCTGCTGCTGCTGCAGCAGCAGGGGAAGCAGCAAAACAGGATTCTGCAGCAGCAGCAGCAGATGTGTGTCTCCTTCCTGAGGAGGAGAGACAAAGATTGTTATCAATTCTTCATCAACAAAAGGAAAAGGCAGAGGTAATAAACCCTAATTAATATAAACCCTACATAAACCCTAACTATTTATTTATTTATTTATTTATTTATTTATTTATTTATTTATATAGGTAGGTAGCTAGCTATTTATTTATATAGCTAGCTAGATATTTGTTTATCTATAGAGTTATTTAGCTAGCTCCCTGAGTAGCCTTGCTCCCACCTAAACCCTAAACCCTAAACCCTAAACCCTAAACCCTAAACCCTAAACCCTAAACCCTAAACCCTAAACCCTAATAATGGTGTGTAAATATGATACAGAAGGCATTAAATGAATTACCAATAAGTTTAGGGACAGAAAGACAAAGAAGAAAACATGAAGAAATACAACGTTTATTGATTTTTCTTGATAAACATTTACTACAATTAAATAATAATAAAAATATATTTATTGATATTAATAATCATAAACCCTCTATATATCCATTATATACACAACAACGCATGCATGCAACAGCAGCAGCAACAGCACCAACAGCAGCAACAGCACCAACAGCACCAGCAGCACCAACAGCAGGAAGAAAAGGGAAAGGAGAGGGGTTGGTTAGACCTAAATATCACCCATAAACACTAAATTAGGGTTTAGGGTCTAGGGTTTAGGGTTTGGGGTTTAGGGGCCCTGTAGGGAACCAACAACAAACATTTATTAATCGTCTTTTTTACAGCAAATCTATAACATCTTTCTAGGGTTTAGGGTTTAGGGTTTAGGGTTTAGGGTTTAGGGTTTTAAGACAAGAAGGATCTAACAAAGATAAATGCATGCATACAGATGTTGGAGGGTTTAGGGTTTACAGACAGCAACAAGAATATCATTACTTTTATCATTATGACCTGCTGCTGCTGTTGTTGCTATTTCTACTGCTGCTGCTGCTGCTGCTGCTGCTGTTGCTGCTGTTGCTGCTGCTGCTGCAGCAGTGTATTGCACTGGATCTGTTACATGCAACAGTTGTTCTTATAATAAACGAGTAGCAAAAGAAAAAGGAATAAAGAAGAAATAAAAAGAAAATAAATTATAAATAAATAAATAAATAAGAATAAATAAAAAAGAATAAATAAAATAAATAAATAAATAAATAAATAAATAAATTGGGGTGTATAGTGTAAAGATTTGCAGAGAATATTTTTTTCAATAGGAAAAAGGATATAAATAAAGGAATAAATGGTGAATAAATTGATTAATTAATTAAATTAATTATTATTTAGTATATTTTTATTTAATTTAATTAAATTAAATAAAAATAAATAAATTTTATTCCTTTTTTCCCCTTTTTTCCCCCTCTGACCCACAAAGAAGAAGAAAAGAAGAAAGCGAGCATTATAATGAATAAAAGGATAAAAAGAATAAATAAATAAAGCTAAATTAATTGTTCTTATTTATTTATTTTATTTATTTATTTAATTTAATTTAATTTATTTATTTAATTTAATTTATTTAATTAAATAAAAAGAATTCAATGAGTAAATAGGCTCGTCATAGTAGCGCAGACTGTACGTACACCTCGTAGGTAAGCAACGACTGTCTGTGGGTACAAAGGAGAAAAAGGGATAAATGGTGAGGAAAAA